GGAAAAACACCATCTGCCTGTCTGCCTTTTGAAAAGTGCCTTGGAGTCCTTCTGGCATTATTTCTACCACAAATGGTGACAGGGTTTCTACCCATTATGAGATAGGAGAGGCATTAAAATTGAAGTATAGCCCTACATTAGATTTGATTTCGTTAAATCTTTTAATAAAAACCTTGTGGGGGGGAAAAATTGGGTGAAGCAAATGGGACTTTTGTTGCTTCCAAAGTTGAGTATGGCCGTTGAGAAGATGGTTTCATGGACTTTGACTGTTGGGAAAACTGGTTATTTCTAATGCTCCTTCCTAGTCCTTATTTGACATATTCTTTTGCCCAATATGCACGTGGAGAGAGAGAGAGAGAGAGAGAGAGAGAGAGAGAGAGAGAGAGAGAGAGAGAGAGAGAGAAGGAGAGAGAGAGAGAGAAGGAAAGAGAGAGAGAGAAGGAGAGAGGGAGGGAAAGAGAGAGAGAGAGAGGGAGGAATCTAGGCAAAATGTTTCCAACCAAAAAGTACATTCCACAGTTCTACTGCCACTACAGATGCCTTTTGGAATCAAACTCACAAACTTGAGCGAGTAGATTTAGGTTTATCCTTTCCAAGATGCTATTTTCCAGTTTAGTGGAACTGAAGTCTACCGTTGAACTTCGCTGGCAGAGAACGTTGGGTTTCTGCAAGGCTGAATCTGGAGGTGTTGCATGGCAGGTGAGCAACCAAGGCTCTCGTGGGTTTGTGGATTTCCAAGGAGAGACCGTGCCAGAGACTCGGAGGTCAACGCCATTAGTAGCAGGGGTTTAATTTTTTTTTTCCATGAGACTAAAAGAATGTTTTCTTGCAACTTGGCTGCCTTCCATCCCCTCCCAGGGATGAGAGGTCTCCACAAACACTGGATAGGAGATTAACACTGCTGTTCTAACCTCATAGAGCGATCTGGGCCTTGAAGAAAGCTTGGCGGCTGTGGGTCCACGTAGCTTACAAAGAGCTTTTTGTATGGAGGATGGCAGCAGATCAAACAGAATGCCAACGCCACTGGAAATCCAGATTGAGTTGACCCTTCAGGCCTATCCCTACCTCTCACCCTTGAAGTGTCTTGGTGGAGGAAGGGACATTGATCTCCTATCCATAATCTCCCTCCTCCAGAAGGGAGTTAAGAAGTATGAGCTGGGTGTCAAAGCTATCTCAGAAACCACTCCCACATAAGATAAGGTAGCCTTTATTGGTCTGTAGAGATTCTCAGTCATCCAGGTCACAGTTGCCCCAAAGGTGCTTTTTCAAGAGGCAACTGGACTTTCTGGTTTTTTTACTTTTGCACGTTTCGCTTCTCATCCAAGAAGCTTGGATGAGAAGTGAAACGTCTTCACTTCTCCTTTGGGATAACCTTTATTGTCACTTTTTTGTGTGGGAACACACTGGAACACATTAAAAATGAAGTTCTACTTAATATACTTTTAACATTTTCTGGGACTTTGGGTAGATTGGCTTCTTCCATATATTGTGTTAATTTTTTTCCCCATCAATTTATTTTCTGTATCATATAGCTTTTCGTAATATTCTTTAACTATTTTTTTATTGTCTCATGTTGTATATGTCCCTGATCATCATGCAATTTATTTAGCACCTTTTTCTCCTTTTTCAATTTATACGCCAGCCATCTTCCTGGTTTATTTGCATTCTCAAAAAAGTTTTGTTTTGACCTTTTAGTTGGTTGGGCTATTTCTTCTGTAGACTATTAAGTTCACATCTACATATGCTATATATAAATACATACACATACACACTCATGTATATATGCATATATATTAATCACAGTCCATTTAGAATACATAACCAAAAAAAAAGAGTCTTAACAAGGCTGATACTCTATAGTATAAATCTATTATAGAATCTAATTGTTCTCCTTCAGATACCATGAAGCTCCCCTCCCAGAAGGGATATGGTGAATGGATGATGCCTCTGCATTTGGAAGTCAAGGTGCTTAGTCTAAAAAATTTAAGCTGGGGTCACAAAGGAAGGTTTCCTAGAAGATGGTGGACAACCATTTAGATATGAGCCAGCCATGGGCAGCAGCTGCCAAAAAAGCCAACACAGTTCTGGGCTACGTCAACAGAGGGATAGAATCAAGATCACGTGAAGTGTTAATACCACTTTATAATGCCTTGGTAAGGTGACACTTGGAATATTGCATTCAGTTTTGGTCGCCACACTGTAAAAAAGATGCTGAGACTCTAGAAAGAGTGCAGAGAAGAGCAACAAAGATGATTAGGGGACTGGAGGCTAAAACATATGAAGAACGGTTGCAGGAACTGGGTATGTCTAGTTTAATGAAGAGAAGGACTAGGAGAGACATGATAGCAGTGTTCCAATATCTCAGGGGTTGCCACAAAGAAGAGGGAGTCAAGCTATTCTCCAAAGCACCTGAGGGTAGAACAAGAAGCAATGGGTGGAAACTAATCAAGGAGAGAAGCAATGTAGAACTAAGGAGAAATTTCCTGACAGTTAGAACAATTAATAAGTGGAACAACTTGCCTGCAGAAGTTGTGAATGCCCCAACACTGGAAGTTTTAAAGAAGATGTTGGATAATCATTTGTCTGAAGTGGTGTAGGGTTTCCTGCCTGGGCAGGGGATTGGACTAGAAGATCTCCAAAGTCCCTTCCAACTCTGTTATTCTATTCTATTCTAGATAAGGGGTGCAGGTTTGGGATGGTGATGGAAATCCCCCAAACTTAGCAGATGTTGCAAATTTCTACTAGGTTTCTTTCTTTAAAAAGAAGAAAGGAAGGGAGGCTTAGGATAAACCCAAGGAATGGGGCCATTCATTATTATTATTTTGGTTCAGTTTGCGCAATTATGGATTTGTTTGCTGCCTATACAAATAATTCCCCTTTTTTCTTTTCTTTTTTTTACAGACACTTTTTTTGTCTTCCCAGGCAACTAGGATGGATTTAAGAAGGAGACAGGTTGACCTGTGAAATGCAAGTGATGGGAGATGGACAGGAGGAAGAATTGAGTGGTGAGGGATGGGCTGGTGAAGCTTTCAAATTTGCTCAGAACCTGCCTAATGCATTTTATCAAACTGAATAGCATAAGAGTCAGAATGGGACAATTTGTCACAGCCAACTCGCTGCAGGACAATTCCACAAATGCAAAAATTAAAAAAGCTTGATCAGGTGCCAAAATAAATAAAATAAAGGAAGTCTCTCCAGAAATACAAGAGTTACAATAATTTCAACGAAAACGTGGTCACCTGTAATAAAAGTACCTGAATGAGAGGATTAATACAGCATTGAATTGTCCCACGGTGAGTTGTCCATGGTGAGTTATGCTAGACCTGCATAAACTGTGAGAGAACGAGGAAGTTGTGGTGGTGGAGGAAGTATCAGGTTGAACCTGGGAGAACATGAGTTCCTGTCCCAAAGGACAGGGACTTCTTTCAAAAGGCAACTGGACATTCTTGTTTTGCTTGAGGATGTTTCGCTTCTCTTCCAAGAAGCTTCTTCAGTTCTGAAGAAGCTTCAATCTTCAGCTTCTTCAGAACTAAAGAAGCTTCTTGGATGAAAAGCAAAATGTCTTCAAGCAAAACAAGAAAGTCCAGTTATCCCAAAAGCATCTATGGAACAACCATGACCTGGATGACTGAGAATCTCCATAGACATGAATTCCTGTCCTGCTTAGACACGAAGCTAGCTTGGTGATCTTGGGCCAGTCCCTCTTTCTCAGCCCTAGGAAGGGGACAATGGCAAACCACTTCTGAAAAACCTCACCAAGAAAACTGCAGGGACTTCTTCTGTCAGTCCCCGAGAATCAGACTTGACTGAGTAGAAGAAAAACTGTGCAAGTATTTGGCAGTGTTTTTCTCCAGCATGCTCTTTGACTTGAACTTTTGCAAATAATTTGTCCCAATAGAAAGTTAATGAACATATATGACGAGAATCTTCCTCGCAAACATATTTGATATTGTGAATGTTTTAGGTAAACATTTAGGCAACTGCACAGTAATATAAAAGGTGAATATTACATTTTGTCCCCAAGATTGTTTGCCTGTCTCTATGTAAAGGATTTCAAAAGCCCAAACTTCTTCCCCGACCCCCCTCAAATTCTGTATTGTTTTCAAAAATGTGGATGAGTCTGCCTATGTTTCTAGACAGTGTTTCTTTGTGACAGCGGCTCTCTGGTGACCTTGGGAATAAATTTAAAATAAACAAAGATTTGCCTTCGGTTTAAAGAAAAGATTTAAAAAGTGAGCTTTGTCCCCTAGCATTTTTGACAACCTTTAGCCAACTTTCAAGTAGTTAAAATAAACCCACAGTCACACCTTTTCAAAACACATCGCGGATTTGTCATCCGCTGGTCCAATTAGAAACAGAATGGCATCCATCATGTGTCCTTTCCGTCTTAATATTTTTCTCTATCAGTTGAAGCTAGCAGAAAATCACAGTGAAATGTAGAAATGGCTCCTTCAAAATCCTTTAACCGCTTTGCCCTAATTATGGTCAAAAGAGAACATTGAACAATAGCAGTTATTGTCAAAATGGACCACAATATTGATCATTCGCCCGAAGAAAGAAGGACCAGAGATCGTACAGCGTGAGGAAGCAAGTAGATCTGGGGGGGGGGGGGATCTAATTTCTGATGTAATGCTTCAATATAATATATTTCCTTATAAAATACAGTTGTTTACATGGATACAGCCCTACCCTCATATTACTACGAAACAAAAATCCATAGGAAAAAACAACAACATTAAAAACGCCATAACTCTGTCTCTTGGAGAAAATATTCCTGTCTAACTTTCTGGGTGAACAAGCCAATTTTGAATTACTGTGTAAATGTTTTAGGAACATTGGTGGGTTTTAAAGCCATGGAAAATTGCTTTGGCGTTTTTGTTTTGTTTGGGGGTTTCATATATGAAATGTAGTTGCGTTTAATTTTGATGGCCTTTGGGGACCAGGGAGTGGGGGGAAGAGAAAAAGAGATCCTTCTCTTCCACTGACAGGTCCAGTAGATTTGTGATCCATTTCTTTCATATTTTCGGTCCAGTTCTCTATTCCAAACCGACGTTAGGAAAATAAGGAACACTGCGCATTTGTTGTGTTTCCTTCAAGGATTGTTTAGTTGGAGTTGTTGCCAACTTCCTGATGAGCTATTTCTGAAGCTGTGTTGGAGACCACACTTCCTTTCCTGTCTTAAGGAAAAGAAGACCAGGCAGAGCAAAACAGCTTTCCTTGGAGAAAAGTAAGCCCTTCAATCACTAGGTATTATATCTTTATCTTTCTTCCTTTTTTTCTGCCTGTCTATCATGTCCTGTCTTCTCCTTCCCAAGGCTAAAATATCTTTCATGAGGGAACTTCTAAGATTTCCCGTTTTTAATAAGCTTGCAGCCCTTTTGAAGCAACCTTGGTGCGTTCTGATCTCAGAAATATTGCTTGCAGTTACACGCGAGTCCTTTCCAAGTCTGCACTCTGTTTATTTTTTAAATTTTACTTTTCTGATATCTTTATTCCGGAACATAATTCTGCTTCTCTTTGCAAAACTTCCTCCCTGTTTTGTTCCTCTCTTCAGATTTTATGCCTCATAATAAATGGGTTTATTTACCTATGCAAAATTTTTAGCATCTTTGCCGGTCAGTAACTATCTGCTCGGTTAGTAGGTAAACAATACAAATTTTACCAAGGGGAGGGAGAGGAAACTTCAAGAGAGATCATTTTTTATAAAAGTGAACTGTGTTTCATTTCATTTTTCCCGCATGCAATGTTTTCCCCTTCATTTGTCTTTTTCAACTAGCACAGTGAGTCCTTTCATAATCATATTTTGACAGCGGTACCTTTTTCAATAATTTCTAAGAAATGTGTTCAATGTGGGGTGGTTATTTTACTCCTTTATTGCTAATTTAAGTACAGGTCGTGAATATTTTATGAGTAACCCAATAAAACTGGGTAAATACAAAAATGTAGAAATATATATTGGCTGTAGAAGCAGATTTTAATATGTAAGATGTACATTAACAATATAATAACCCGCAGAAAGAAATCTAGATTGTAGTCTTGGCCTACAAATAGGGAAAGAAAGAAGAAAAGCGTTGTGATGTTTTTTAAATCTGCAAACTGAAGAGAAATCATTTTCAAAAAGGATTAGCTGCCTTACTGAATATCTAAAATGGTTTCTTCTTGTAACAGATGAGTCGGTGTCAAAAATAGGTCTCCAATTCTGGAAAATGAGGCATTTTAAAAATTCAAAAATCACAATGAAAGGAAAGGAAAGGAAAGGAAAGGAAAGGAAAATGGATAGAGAAAAAAGGGAAAATATAGGAAAAGAGGAAAGAAGAAGAAGGGAAGGGGAAAGGAAAGGAGAAAGGAAAGAGAAAGAAAGGGAAAGAAAAAAAGGAAAGGAAAGGAAAATGGATAGAGAAAGAAAGGGAAAATATAGGAAATGAGGAAAGGAAAGGAAAGGAAAGGAAAGGAAAGGAAAGGAAAGGAAAGGAAAGGAAAGGAAAGGAAAGGAAAGGAAAGGAGAAAAGTGCTATTTAAGTCCCTCTGCAGTCAATAGAATCTGTTAATTATAGCTCATTAAATTCCCCGGTTGGATTGAAACACAATTAATTCTCTTCGAAAAAATTCTATTAGATCTATGACAGCTCTAACTCATATACAAATGTTTTCTGCCGCCCACATGGAAAAGGACTTTCTGTCTGAAAACCCGGGTGGGATTGAGAGCGTATGGAAGAAGGGTGACCTAAGTAGAGTAGACTAGACATCCTTCCTTAGACAAAAATAGGACTGGGGAGCAACGTTTCTGACTCTGGTTTTAGGAATGCGATAGCCAAATAAATAGGAAGGGTTATTTCGATAAAAGGCCCCCAAATTGAAACCCAAAAGGAAAAGCATCCGATTCCAGCTCACACATCATATCAGAAGAATTTTGGCAAAGGTTGGATCTCAAGCCACAGAATTTCACGGACGGCCATTTAGCAAGCTGGATCCTGATCAAGTTTTTTGCTTGTCTCCTTTATTCAATTGTTTTCGTAATTATTCAACTGGGCAAGTTCTGCATTAATTCTGCTATAACCTTCTTTTCTTTGCCCTCTGTTTGACTTTGTGTCCCAGTGTAATGCAATGCAGCACCTAAAAAAATATCTTTCCTATAAGTTTGTTTTTCTCCGGTGGTTGCATTACGCCATGGGCCTGATTCAAACGTTTCTTCTTCCATTGGAATGGAACAAGCCTTGATTTAGATGGAAAGACAGACATTGCTCCTTTTTAAATAGGCCTTTTGGGTGAAAGACTAAACACGGGGTTGGAGAAAATTAAAGAGAAGGGTGAGGAAGGATCCACGCCTTGTCAGCATTCTCATCTTCGGGAAGTGCGAAAATACCCTCTCTCAATGAGCCTGGATGGCTTTTCAGATCAATCTTTGCTGAACCACAACGTTCAACCATAATTCTACTCTTGCTGAAATTCAGAAGCCACCTTCTTTCGAAGGGCAGGCATGCCACCGAGAAGCCCAAATATTTATCAAGCCTCCACTTCACCATTTTGTTATTCTTCCTGATAAACTCTAGCTTTGTAAATCTGTTTTAAAGCATTTGGAGTTTGGGGCTGAGATCTTTATCGGGGGAAAGCTGCTGCGTCAGGATTTGAGGAGAAATTTCAACTTGGTCCATCAGGGGGCGGTTGCGGCTTCTGAACTACAAACTTGGAAAAACCTTTTAAGAACCCTCACCGTATTTCAGACATCAATCCATTAGAGAGGGTCCAGAGATATTTTACTAGAAGAGTACTCAAATCTTCTGCTCAAAATAAAATTCCCTATCCCACCAGGCTTGAAATTTTAGGTCTGGATAGTCTCGAACTATGCCGTCTACGTTCTGACCTATGCTTAGTTCATAAAATTATTTACCAAAACGTCCTACCTGTAAATGAGTACTTTAATTTCAACTGTAATAACACAAGGGCTACCAATAGATTCAAACTCAATGTAAATCGCTCTAATTTTGATTGTAGGAAATATGACTTCTGCAATAGAGTAGCAAATGTCTGAAACACTCTACCTGATCTTGTTGTTAGTCTCTTTAACTTCCATACCTTTTACCTTAAACTGTCTTCCGTGGACCTTTCATGTTTCTTAAGAGGTCCCTAAGGGGGCATGCATAAGGGCACCAGCGTGCCTTCCGTCCCTGTCCTACTGTCCCCATTTATATGTAATCATTCTATGTGTTTATGGCCATGTTTTGCCTATTTATATCCTTTTATTTGTGCCAATTTTTTTCATGTGTCCATGTCTATGTCTATACTGTTACTTGTTTCCTTGTACTTGTTGATAAATAAATTAAATAAATAAATAAATAAATAAGAAAGATCTTGAGAACATTACCGTCCATAATGCAGCTTTGACCTTATCGCCACCGAATAGCTGTTTAAAACTCCCATTAATTGAAACACGAATCTCTTCAACATTCCAACAAAGTGCCCTGACTGTTTTTGACTGCTATAGTTGTTCAAAGTCTGTCATCCAGGTCATACTTACAAGTATCTATCTCTTCCCACTCACTACTATAACCATGTTGCTTGTATTTTTCAATTTATATTGTTTTTATTTGTTTCCTAGTACGATTTGATAGCTTATTAGTAACCTTGACTATCACTAAGTGTTGTATCTTTTTATTCTTGATGAATGTATTTTATTCTCCTTATGTACACTGAGAGCATATAAGCCTAAGACAAATTCCTTGTATGTCCAATCACACTTGGCCAATAAAGAATTCTATTCTATTCTATTCTATTCTATTCTATTCTATTCTATTCTATTCTATTCATGGTTGTCTCAAAGGTGTTTTTTCAGGAGGCAACTGGACTTCCTTGTTTTTCTTTTTTGAAGATGTTTCACTCCTCATCCAAGAAGCTTCTTCTGCTCTGACAGAAGGTTCCCTTCCCCACTATCCCATCAGAGCTGAAGAAGCTTCTTAGATGAGAAGTGAAACATCTTCAAAACAGAAAAACAAGAAAGTCCAGTTGCCTCCTGAAAAAGAACCTTTGGGACTTTAGTTGTTCAGTGATCGGGAGCCTCCTATAAAATGTTCAAACTTGAAATAGTATGGCAAACGAAAAGAAACTTAAGATGGTTATTCTTAAGCCATTTCTACATTGCACACAGGTCAAGATTTTATTTTTCCATTGATTCGGACAGATTCCTGATTGGGTTAAGTGAGTCGTTCGTTGCTGATTTATCTAATCTTTATTGGGTTGGATGATTGATTCCTATGGTTGAAAGGCTGTTTGTTAGCGCCAAAAACAGTTAACACTATCACCCGGCTTCGTCATTTAATTTTGAAAATTAAGAATACTTCACTAAATTTTTCCCACTACATGTATCTTTTTATGGGAATATTTATCCTTTAATATTTAATGTGAGAAAGAAAGAAAGAAAGGAGGGAGGGAGGGAAGGAAGGAAGGAAGGAAGGAAGGAAGGAAGGAAGGAAGGAAGGAAGGAAGGACGAAACAGTTCATACAGACCATCCATGTTTAGTAAGTAGGTGAAAAGGAACAACGATAATGAAAAAAATAAAAATTATCACTATAACTTTCTACTATATTATTATTGATAAAGTAAATAGTTTTCTTGAAATCCTTATATTGTATGCATTATCTTCAAAAAGCAAAGCTACATTATCCAGAAATTTCATTTGATTTCCTACTTCCATGATTACACTGGACAAAACCAGCATTATAAGGACCTCTGGAAAAAATAACACTCATTGTTTATTTATTAAACAGATTTATTGCCATTACAATAAACTACTTAAGCTCCCATAACTTTCACTGTTAGTCTGGGAACTCTACGGGTCTTGTAAAAATTGTAAAAAAAATAATAAAAAATAGAGGGTACATGTATATCACCTCAGACTAGAATTATTTTTGATTTGATCCATGTTTAATTTCGGTTAGATTATGGTAGCTTTTTGCTTTTAAAGTACCCAGATTGTAATTTTAAGCACCCGTTTCTTGAATGTAGGTTTTCCTGAAATCAGAGAGAATTGACTGGCACTTTTAACAGGCCAGATATAATGTCAATAAAAGGATAAAATCCTATTTTGAAGTGAGCGTGTCTTGTTTGGGCTCCTTTGAAGTGAAGGAGAACGAAGCAAAATTCACTTAACCGATGTCTCACTTAGCAACAGTGAGTTTGGTTTAAATTGTGGTTGTAGGTTGAGGGCTACCCTGTACTACATTGCAATGCAACCATTTCTAAATCTCTGGAA